AAGCACCAGTCATTCCATCAGCAACAACAACTGGGCCTAACACTTGCACAGAGAGGTTAATGCTAATAGGGAAACTAGAAAAAACATGTAGAGTTGTTATATGCTGATTAGAACATAGTGCAGTTACATTACAAGAAGACAAGGCTAAAATACATCAAATGAAACATCTAAGTATGATTAAAAGGTCCTCGGAGTCGTGGTCATCGCCACCTATGTCCTCGTGATCTTCAGTACTCTTCCTGCCACCTCATTAAACTAAGAATATCAACCACATTCATTACCAACCAACAATAGCAACAATAAAGGCTAAGAAACAAAAATCTTATTCAACCAAAAACAACAATCATAACTACAAATATCAACCTATAATGCACTCAATTTCACAAAATTGAAGTAAATTTTACCTAAATTCTCATTAAATGTTAAATTAACAAACACAATTTCAACTAAAATGACACCTTAAATGCTATCAATTTTACGAAAAACTAATACAACTTTTACCCAATTTCATGTCAATTTCAACTCATATTCACACAATCTCAACTAAATTTCACCAAAAATGCACTCAATTTCAGACAAACAAATTCAATTTCACCAAAAATTACAATAATAATAAATTATATAATAGTAAACAAAAATACCTCATCTTGAAATTCACGGTAATATAAAGAGGACCAGCGGGGAAGACTGGCGGTTGAGTGGCGACGGCGGCGAGTGGTGGCGAGGGAACTCGGTCGAGGGCGGCGGCGGCTGACGGTCTGGGGATCAGGCGTGGCGTGGACAGCTGACGGTCTGGGGCGTCGAGGGCTGGCGCGGCTGGACGGGTGACGGTCGGGGGATCTGGCGTGGCGTGGGCTAACACTAGCGGCGACGGGGGTTAAGGGATGGCGAGTGAACTGATTTCGATTTTGAGTTGTGAGACTGAGATCCCAATTTTTATTAGAGATCCGCGAAGGAACACTGCCCGTAGCAGATTCCGTTGCAGATCTGTGACGGAAAAATTAAACTGTCGCAGATATTTTGTGAAAAATTTGACCAACTTGGTCGTCTCCGGATTTGCGACAGTACTCTATTTTCCGTTGCAGATCTGCGACGGAGTATGAAATTCTGTCGCAGATTACTTTCATTTTTCATGGATAATTCGTCCGTCGCAGATTCGTTGCAGATCCGCTACGGAAGTAGGTCCGTAAAAGATTTCCGTTGCAGACCAGACAAATTCTTGTAGTGCTCTGCATGAAGTAGAAGTCTATATTCATTTAACTCCTTACCTTCCACGGATGACATCTTTTCCAAAGCGCAGATGGGCCCAATTAACTGGCCCATGCGCTTTAGTGGCAAAAAACCCCTGGTCAAACATTGGGAACCTTCGACCGTTTCATCTGCCAATCGCTTAGTCTTTCACGTCTCTTAACTGCATTCATTGCTTCCCAACTATCTCTTCTACAAATGGGAAAGCATAGTTTGCTGCGGGTTCATCTCTTTCTTATTTCTTTGCCATGGCAAGTAAATCTCGGAGTAAAGTCATCATCGACTTAACCCATTCTGGGACATCTTCTTCTTCGGATGACGATTTCCCTGCCTCTCCGGCTCAATCTAACGACATGGCTGGGTTGAGTCCTGGCGAGTTCTCAAAACTTTATCCATCACCTCGTCTTCCTGCACCATCTCCTCCTAGTCCACCCAGGCTTCCATCCGGGAGGATAGACTGGGACTCTATGACCCTCCAAGACTTCGCCCTGTACCAAAGGATGCGCAGGGCTAAACTCGGGCACTCTTTTTCGATTGCCGAGGCAGAACCTTCACGTGAAAGCCGGACCGCTTCTCCAAACTTTCTGAGATCTCTCAATATTGGTTGTGCATTGGGAGCACTAGCTCCCCGTCCTGGGACTTGAGAAGACTATGACATATGGGAAGCCGCTGATTCCGCAGCGTGTCCCTCGTCGAAGAGAAGGAGCCCATGGAAGGGGCCCCCACCTCCTTCTTGTTGACTGCATGGATGCAATAGGCCCTCCTTCGGTGCCTAGCCCCTTGCAAATTAAATTTCTTTTTCTTGTTTTATCTCAAGAGGCATTCACTTGTTTGGTCCAGGAGTTCTCTCTGCATCCCAAACTAAGGAATGTCTCACAATCTCAAACTAGGAATTATCGTTGTAATTCAAAGATACAACCTCTGAATTAGCAATCGATGAACTCCCTCATTTTTTATCTCACTAGGAACCATTATTGTGAACCAGAAATGTAAACTTTGGCCCATCAATGTGGTCCTTAATGTTTATTTCTTTGCACTTTTTCTAATGCAAGTACATAATTCATTCTCTGTATAAAATCTCATCTCCTGGGGTTTGGAGACGTCATGGGAACTTACCTCACTTCCCCCTGACCTCCTTTCCTCCGGGTTAAGGCATTATCTTATCTACCTTGCATCAGTTGAGCTCCAACCCTCGAAGTTTGTTTGCTCGATTGATCTGTGCTGGGGAATACTAAGCTTCAGCCCTCGAAGTCTGCTTGCTGTTCTTCCAGAATTCCACGTTGTCAAGGCCCTCAAAGTCCAATCCCAACCCTTCCTTCATTTTTGACCGAGGCATAAACTTATCTACCTCCGGGGGGCATAAACTTATCTACCTCCCCTATTTTTAGCAGGTGGCATAAACTTATCTACCTCCCTGTAATGCGGGTCTATATCGCCCGGGGGTGCTCTCCCCCCCCCCTCCTTTTGGAAGAAATCTATAGAACAATGAAAATGCAAAGGCACTTGGCTTTAAAAGAAAGAAAATTTTCATTGAAACAAACATCTTAAATTTAAAAATAGAGCGCTTTAACAAATGATTTCACTGATAAAATTTTACAAAGTGCTCTACATTCCATGTCATATCAATTTCTTTTCCCTTGGGAGTCACCAACTTGTAGGTACCTGGGCGAACAACAGCCTTGATGATATAAGGTCCTTCATATTTCTTAGCCAGCTTCCCATCCTTAGTTGGTTGACTTTTCTCTCGCTTCCTCAGAACATAATCCCCCACCTGGAACGCCCTTGGTTTTACTCTACTATCAAAGTAACAGTATAAGAAACTTGACATTTTGTGGCACCAAATTTTGCCACAAAACATAAAAAATTAGCCACAATAGTTATTTGTAGCAATTTTGGAATTTGCCACAAGGTTGCCACAGATACCCCGTTACAAAAGCTATTTGTGGCAATTTTAAATTTGGCACAAAAATTATAGTTTTTGTGGCAAATTATATTTGCCACTAATAAAAATTTGCCACAAAAGGTCATGTTTAGTAGCATATTTTAGTTGCCACAATTTATTATTTGTTACAAAAAGTCATATTTAATAGCAAATTTATGATGCCACAAATTATATTTTGCCACAAAAAACCATGTTTAGTAGCAAATATTAATTGCTACAATTATCACTTTTTTGTGACAAACCTAATATTAGTGATATTATTATTATTATTATTATTATTATTATTATTATTATTATTATTATTATTATGGTAGTAGTATTAATTTGTATTATATTCATGTATGTAATATAAAATGTAAATTAATATATACGTTTCACTACATTTTATTATTATTTTTGTTTTGTATATACGATGAGTATTAAGTTAGGGTTTGTTAGTTTCCAAGTGTTAACAATTATATTATCCCAATCGACATAAAATAAATATAGTACTAAACATGGCAAAATTGTTAAAGTATCTTAAACGCTTAACATCTAATAATAAGCTTCATCTTTTCATTTCATCTTGTCACATCTATCTCGAATGTAATTCCACCCAAAGTCGTAGAAACTGAATGACATCTCTCATATTGACCCTTGATCTGCATATTAAGAAAAAAAAATTAATAAAGAAATAATCTAGTAAGTAGGGCACGTATAAAACAAATTAAATAGTGTTTAAAATGACCATAGCAACTATTAACCAATTTGGTCCCTTAACTAAACATTTGGATCCAGACAATACTCATCAGGTTTGTTTAAAACCTGATGCGTCTGCTGATTCCGGCCTCCACCCCTTAAATGGCTAGGCAGTCACTTTAGAACGTCAAGGCCTCAAGGGTAACCACACGGAAAACAACTCTAAGTGTTCACATACAACTTTAAGGGTAACCACCCCTGAAATAGCTGAGCAGCCACATGCAACTCTAAGAGTATGTTTGGTTGGAGGTAGGTAAAAGTTTTATTAGGTAGGTAATGGTAGGTAATAGAAGGTAGGTAACTGAAGGTAGGTAAAGTAAGGTAATGAGTTAAAAAATTGTGTTTGGATATTTATTAGGTAACGTGAGGTAGGAAAAAAATAAAATTACTAAAATATCCTTGTGATTATTTTTTATTTGTTTAGGATGTATTTATATGAAACTATCTTTCACATTATATTCTTACTAATTTTTACTCTTGTGGTTTGCACGGGCTTTTATATGCATGCGTAAAATATACATACAAAATTATTTTTACCTCAATTCTAATTTTTTTAAATTTAATTTATTAGAATTTATTTAAATTTTAAATGTAAAATTTTAAAATTAAATAAACACTCTTGGACGAAACTTCTACGTAACATCATCTTATATAAATGCAACGAACTAATCAAAGAACAGAAAAAATCACAAAAAAAAACAGAGTACAATAACAGAAAAAAATAACCAGAAAAATCACAAAAAAAAAGAAAATAAAAAACCACAAAAAAAATAGAAAAAAGCTGAGAAAAAAACAGGAAAAAGTAAGCAGAGAGAATGAAAGAGTGAAAAAAGTAAGCGAACGAAAAAAGTGAAAAAAGTGAAAATTGAAAAGTGAAAACTGAAAAAAAAAAGGTGAACGAAATATAGAAACTGAAGAAAAAAATTGCAATTGAAGTGCAAAAAAAAAGTGAGCTGCTATTGGAATTGAAGAGCGTAGGAGAACAAAAAAAAAGTGGGTGAATCTTATCGGAATTGAGCAGCAGACGGCGGAAGATTATGGAGATAATTGAGCTATGGCAATAGCAGATCGAAACATACCGAAAGAGCATAGCAGATTGGAAAAAAAAAGTGAAAATTGAGCTATGGCAATCGGAACTGGAAGAAGATGGCTATTGGTTTTCTCATGCGATCGAGTGAAGGGCAGCGGCTTATTACCTTGATATTTCGCCAAATTGGCGGTCATCAAAAATGCACTGTTGAGAGGTAACCTTACCTCTCTCTACCTCTCCCTACCTCACTTGACCTATCACAATTCTTGTTACCAAACAAGGTAGAATATTAAATCTACCTCCCTCTACATCCCCCTACCTCCAAACAAACATAGTGTAAGTGTTCAGATTCAAATCCCATGAACAAAGAATTGTTACAAAAATGAAGCAGGCAGTTACGGCAAATGGATTGACATCAAACTAATCAAACATATTTTGCATGACAAGTAGTGCGGAAAACAAGGCCACCACTGATAGATGGTCTACTTAGACTTAATAAATACACGGGTGAGACAACACTAGCGTGTGATGGTTACAAAGGGCCACCCCTGTTAGGTTATAAAGAAACAATACTCAAACTATTCAAGTTCAAATTCCATGAACAAAGAATTGTTACAAACATGAAAATGCAGTTACTTCAAATAGATTGAAATCAGACTAATCAAACATATTTTGCATGACTAGTGCTAAAGGCATGATCAGATTAGGCTCAGGCTCAGAACGTATTATCTATGGGAAATATACAAAAGAGTTAAATGACACCAATAATAAATATTTCATAGATGAATCAGTACCTTGTATCATTCGAGAGGGCTATGGTCCTTGGAAGTGAAATGAACATGTTGAGATGAATTACTTGATGCCCTGTATACAAAAGATAGCTAGGTCGATAAACAGTAATCATATTCATCTTAAAATACATATACGTTTACAAAAACTATATATACCTCTGAACGTGGTAAAGAAGCCAATCATTAATTTCAAACGCTCTTTTATTCACTTCAGTATCAATCCTCTCTTGCTCAAGAACCTTTGTAATATCTTTCTTCACATAAGAATGAAATGACAACACTCCTTGTCCCATGCCCCTTTGATGAATTGACCCTTTTTTATGTTTAAGAACAATCTCAAGAGCCTCTTGTGGAGTGAGATTATCTTCTCCATATTTATCCAGTTGTTCCTGATGCAATGCTTTGAGATCATCATATGCTTTCTCTGCATACTCATCGGACCAAGTTCCATTTTTGCGTTTCTTAGTAATTTCCCATAGGGCCAAATAGTATGGTTCCTCTTCCACTTCTTCAGTTTCTGATAGATTCTCTTCATCACACTCATCTGAATCTGGTTTCTTTGCTTGTAGCTAAAATTTTAAAGGTTGTGTTAATCATAGGGAATGTAAGAAAATCTAATTTCCTACCAATAGTAACCTACTAATTGAAATATTAAATGAACTTCTATCTTCTATCTTCTGGGTGGAAGCAGGTTCTCATTAAAAGTGTGTTACGTTACAGGCTCTACCTCCACATATCTTCTCTGCAATTCAGCCCCCAAAGGGAGTCCTAAGAAGGATGGAGCAAAGTGGCACTGGTCATGCCCTAGTTTAGTTGCATGTAGCTAGGACCTTATTGTGGCTTTGGTCAAGCCTTTTTCTAGGTTTATCCAACTTACCCTATTGTATTCCCCGGAAGGTTTGTCTTCCGTATGAGGGACTGGAATCCAAGCTTGGTGGTTTACCCACTAGGATTTAAAAAAATGAACTTCAAAAGAAATTGAAATATTAAATGCAAATATATTTTACCATATCGTAGAAGGAACTTGCAATTGATTTTGTGCCAACTTTAGAAAACATTGTTTGAGACTTCTGATTGTTTTTGTTGGTCTCACTGCGTCGCTGCATTTCCAAACACGAAAAGGAAAAACTAACCATGCTTAAAATATGAATATTATTTTTCATTTACAATTTGCATGGCCATGGAAAGAACAACATTAACAAGTATCTTTACGTACCCTAAACTTTTCCCTATCCCAGTAAGTCACCAACCATTTCCATTCTTCAGGATCTACTTCACTAGGACAATTAGCAAGACGACCAGCGACTGTTGGATGATCAGAATAGGCTTTTTTTCTCAAATCGTAACGCCACTTTCTATACCAGGTGTTTGCTCGCCTTTTGATTGTTTTTTCTACATGACGCCCTTCAGGCAATTTAAATAATTCCTACATATATTAAAAGTGTTAATCTTTATCTCTATGATCATTATCTACACAATAACATATTTAAATAACAACCTTTAATTTCATGAAATACTTCCATTTTTTATCGGCATGTGTATGACCCCAATTCTCTACATCCAAAGGCATGCATTGTTTCATCAAATAACTCGCTTCACTAATAAATTGAGTGCTGTTCATCCCAACAACATGATTAAGCTCAGGTGGGATTTCAATCTCCACTTTGTTTGGAATGATATCCCTTTTTCTCTTCTAGTTTTGACACTTTGTTTTCCCACGAAGTACTGGAGTAGCTAGAACAATGACAACAACAAAAGTTAATGACAAGTATTAGGCTGAGAAACAAACTATTAACTTTGGAATGACTACCTTATCAATGAACTATATACTTTCAAAAAAATTATTATTAGTCTACTATTACTATTCGTGTACCCGCCAGCATGTGAAAAACTTAAATGAAATGAAGCGATAACAAACCTTGTTGTACGGATGAGTTCATATGATTTTCATCCCCAACACTTGTATTCATTGAGATATTGGTACTTCTACCTATATGACAGTTCAATAATACATACACAATTACTAAGTCTATGTCGGCGAATTGTAATTAGAATGAACTACAGCGAGAAGAAATAAATAGAAATGAGCCACTACCTCTTTCATGGAGTGGGAGAATTTCTCTTTGTGAAGTCATTGATATTGTTTTTGGAGCTTGTCTTTCAAACGAAACTCCATCCATGTCTCCACGAGTCCGACAGTCATGAAGGGCTGCTACTTCAGACACACATCTTTTATCTAATAAATAAGAAGAGAATAAATCACATATTTTTAAAATCAAAACAAAATATAGGTTTTTTTTATCACGGTCCACGAAACTTATTAAACTCTAGAGACAAGACAGTGCATTTTTTTCACAAGTCAAGTGATATCGGGGCATGATTTTGAGTAGAATGATCACCATGTTTGATATGTATGCTGGTGATCTTGTTATTTAGAACTGATATTAATAAGTATTCACTGCCCCTTCTTGAGAGACTACAAAATCTCTCTAGAAACCTTTTCTTTTTAGAAAGTAAGTCCCCTGTTGATGTGATAACCAGAGTAATTGTGCCAAAATGGCCTAATTTTCGGAATGATCTGTTCTTGAAATGTACCCTGAGAAAATGTACCCTCAGAGACCACTACCTCTTTCATGGACCCTGAGAAAATCTCTCTATGAAGTGGTTGATCTTGATGGTGGGGCACGTCTATCAAATTCACCTCCATCGAAATTACTTCCATGAGTATGATGTTGGTTAAGGCTTTCTACTTCAAACATACCTGTTTCTTCTAATAAATTACAAGAGAATAAAAAATGTATTTTTATTAGAAAATATAGCATACTTGCTCTAATAACAATCCGACTAGAATAAAATTTAATGAACCACTACCTCTTTCATGGACTCTAACAAAATCATTCTGTGACGTGGTTGATCTTGTTATTGAAGCTTGCCTTTCAGATGCACCTCCATTCAAATTATATCCATGAATGCGATGCTGGTTAATGCTTTCTAGTCCAGACACACCTGTTTCTTCTAATAACAACAAGGGAAGAATGTATTTATAAAATAAAACCAACATACAGTGTAACACAAATTTTATTAGAAAATAGCATACTTCCTCTAGTAATATGCCCCATACTTGTAAGCTTGGTCATTTCCGGATTCGAAGAGGCTTCAAACATTTCATCTAATATCAATCAAAAAAAATTATATATCACTAACTGTCAAGGTAAAATAGTTTGAATTAATAACAAATCCATGTCGCAAAAGGAATCATACACAATTAAATCTATATGCACTTGTTGACCATGATGTTTTAAATCTATATACACTTGTCGCAAAAGGAATCATTGTGTATCTACATACACAATTAAATCTATATACGCTTGTCGCAAAAGGAATCATTACTATCTTCTCAAAAAAGAAAGTGACAAGTTTATTTGGGATAGAGAGAGTATGAAAAAGAACGAAATCATCCAAATTACCGTGATTTTTATAATCACAACATCCAAATTTGTGAACATCCAAATAAAAGCTTCAAAACCAGACTTCACCTTAACATTTTAAAATAGTAGTTTAACTGTGAATGTGACCAATAATTAATCAAAAGCAGTGGTAGTCTGTAGATGGCTCTTGTGCTTAATAGTACACACGGATTAGTAATTACAGATTGAATTATGCACAGAGAAGAATAGTGGTCTCTGTGCAGAGTAGTAGTCCTTTTTTGTGCACAATAAAAAATGTCAATGGCTATTAGCTTGAATGGAAGAACTCTTGGAATGGATGGAAGAACACAAAGGAAGAAACAGACAGAACTTGTTTCCCTTCTTGGTTCATGTAGCATTTCTAAAACTGATAGGCTAGATTGGAATCCCATATTAACATGAGCCACTGAATTAGAAACCCCCCTTAATTTTCATGTTACTCTCTCATGCCCACAATTTCTAGTTCCTTCCAGAATTCATCATAACCCAACAAGTAATAATCGTAAGGAATAAAAATTTGATTTAGACACCTAGAGTGTAAACTGGAAATCAAAATCAAACTGGAAACTAGAGAAAGGGTGTGTTAATATACCTGAAATTCGAGAACTTAAAGCGATTTCAGGACTGTGAAGTAATCTGATTTTAAGGATAAGAAAAACAATAGGTGAGGACCAAACTTAAACCATCTAAAATTGAAAAACAAATTAAGCAGAGAAAGAGTGAAAGTTGATAACCTAGGCTGAAGCTTGAGAGGCGGGATTGCAGTAGTCTTGATTCCAGCTTAGGTGATTGCAGAGGAAGCGATTGAAGAAAAATCGAAGAAAAATCAAATGAACAGATGCAATTGCAGAAAAATCGAAGGAAAATCGAACCAAGAGATGCGATTGCAGAACAAATTCACGCCGACCTTTCGAAAAAACAAAAAAAAAGAACCCTTAGAGAGAATACCTGTCCTGGCGAAAGATGTCTTGGAATTTCGGCCGGTAGAGGAAAAGAGGCGACGAAGAGCAGACTTGAGAGAGACGAACTAACAAAGGGGTGAGACTTGAGAGAGGGAGGTGTAGCGGCAATAAGGATTGAGGGAATAGTTTTGGGCTAATTTTGGGTTAGGTGGGAGTAAGTTTTCATTAAAAATTAATTCATTAATAATTTGATTAATTTCCCTCCTAAATATTTTAGGTATAGTAGCAACTTTATAAATTTGCTACAGTAAGTATACTATTTTGTGGCAAATTTTAAATTGCCACAAATTTTGTGGCTAAACCAAATGGAGTATCGCCCGTAGCCCTCCTTGGAGTTGTCCTATATGTCCACAGGATTCTGGGTACTTCATCCACCCATTTACTTCCTTCTGAAAGCAACTTCTTTTTTATCCCACTTATGATTGTCCTGTTGACGTTCTCCACCTGTCCATTAGCCTGAGGGTATGCTACAGACACTTTCGTATGATGAATTCCCCAAGTTTTGAGGAAGTCTTGAAACTCTGCTTCCTCAAACTGGGTTCCATTGTCAGATATGATCTGTTTCGGGACTCCAAACCTACAAAGTATATTAGTTCCGACGAAGTCAATCATCTGCCTCCCAGTTATCCCGGCAAGTGGCTCAGCTTCCACCCACTTGGTAAAATAGTCTATGGCCACAACGATCCATCTTGCCTGCCCAACCCCTTTTGGCAGGGCACCCACAATATCAATCCCCCATGTTGAGAAGGGAATCACAGAGCTGATGAGCGTGTAGTTCGTGGCTGGCCTCCCGGGCATATTCTGGAATTGTTGGCAAGTTGGGCACTTGCGCAGATACTCTTCGCAATCCTTTCTCATCGTTGGCAAAAAATATCCCTGGATAATCGCCCTTCTGGAAATAGAGTATGGACCCTGATGTGCAGCACATACGCCTTCGTGTATCTCTTCCATCAATGCCTTTGCCTCCGCAGCCCTGAGGCAGCGGAGTAAAACACTGTTATAAGATCGCTTATAGAGGACTCCATCGTGCACCTTGTAGGTGGGTGCGCTCATTCGCAGCAAATGCGCTTCTTGGGGATCCTCCGGGGCTACGCCGTCCTCAATGTATTTAGCCAACCTGTCCAACCATTCAGGAGGATCGGCTAACACCCAGAACATTTCATCTCTGTTAAGACTCGGGGTTGCCAGCTCCTCCACAGTTGCTAATTTTCTTATGTACTCTGGTGATTCTGCGCTGAGCTTGGATAGAACATCAGCTTCCGCGTTCTGGGCCCGGGGTATATGTTCAAGCCTAAACTCAAACCTTCCCAACATCTCCAAGGACAAGTCTCGATACCTCTTCATCCTCTCTTCCTTTGCTTCAAACTCCCCAGTGATTTGTCCCACCACCAGTCGGGAGTCGCTATATACTTGAACCCTGGACACTCCCAACTTGCCAAGAATCTTCAGCCCGTTGATCAGGGCCTCGTATTCAGCCTCATTGTTGGATACGCGGAACTGAAATCTTATAGCATAATAGATCCGGAAATTTTCCGGAGTAATCAAAACAATACCTGCTCCACAAGATCGAGACCCCGAAGATCCATCGATGCTCATTACCCACCAGTCGTCCTCTACCCGGGTATCGGCCTGTGTTCTTGTCATCTCCCTGGCAGTATGCTCGACTTGGAAATCAGCTAGTGCTTGCCCTTTGATTGATGGGCGCGGCCTGAACTCCACATTGTATTGACTGATGAAGACTGCCCACTTAGCTAGTCATCTGGGCAGATGCCACCCGGCTCCGGGTAAGTGACGCCAAAGGCTCATTGGTGAGCACAACAATCCGGTGAGCCTGAAAATATGGGGTTAATCTCTTCGCCGTCCAGAAGACCACCAACATGGCCTTTTCTAGATGGGAATACCTTAACTCCGCATCTCTGAAGGTTTTGTTGGACATGAGTTCAAACCCTTTTATTATTTTTCTGTGGAATATTTTTTTGTTTTGATGAATGACAAACAAGATGATTAAATTCAATCGATATTTGAAAATTTATTCGGATCGAGAAAAGCAAAGAAGGGTATCAAGAAGTTTCGGCGATAAAATTCAACGCTCACCCCTACGCAGTTTTTTTGAAGTGAAGTGAAGACTCCGAAGACTTTTTATTTTTTATTGAGTCTAGGAATTCTTGTAAGGATGACAATAATTTCTGCATAAACAAATTAATCTTGAGGGATAAAAATTATTATTTTCTGAATCAGTTGAAAAATTATTTTTTCTCTGTCTAAAAATATTTTACCAAGTCAGTTTCAAAATAGTGTGTCAAAAATTCTTAAAAAATTTTTTAAGGATATACAAATTTTTGTGGTAAGAAAAATATACCTTAAATATTTTTCGTGTATCGTTTGACACACAAAATAATTTTTGGACTCCTTTTCTCTCCCCTACTCAAATTCATTGAATAGGGAGATATTATCCGAGGAGCGTCCGTTGTTATTCTCGTTGTCCCAAACAACGAATTAGAAGCCAAATTGCTTCCAATCGCACTTGGCTTGGGCCCTTTGTGTTTGCGCATTATTTTCCTTTTAATCGATTATATCCTCTAAGATAATCGATTAGATCCAGCGCAATTTCTCAGGTCATAATATTTAATCGATTAT